CCTGTCCGCTTATCTCTTTTGCCAGGGCCGTAATTAGCATCCGTAATTAGCGACATTAAATCGGAGGGTATTTAAATCTCTAAATGCAAAATACAAGCCAGCTATGCCATGTAGAATTTAGGTCAAAACTCACGTATTATGTAGCCATTTAGGGTGTTTCTCGTTGGGCCGATCGTTCTATTTTCTCAAATTTCTTTTTGGTGAAACCCATTAAGAATGTCATCCTTTTCATTCTTTTTTAAAGAGAGATATTGAGTTTCTGTACAGGTGTTTCATGAGTGGAAACTGTCTGAAAACATTGTAACCATTAACCTAAGATAAGGCATTATTTTATCTACAAAACAATGGATTAACCAAAGTGCTCATTACACGATAGGAAAGCTTCCATCTCCGGTTCCTACTCGCATCCGCTTTCCGACATTCGATTTACCCGAAAATCTACACATGACGGAGAATTCGAATAACTGTGGGGTTTTGAAACCAATGTCTCTGTATAAAACATATAGCAAAATGAGATAACAATGTGTTTTAAACTAAGTTTTTGATCTCAGAAACTCACAGTAAGCACCCATTGTGGTATCTGTTTTAATACAGTGGATCAAAGGGAGGATAAATATAATTTCAGCAGATTTATAGATATACTAGTTATCTAGCCTAGGCAATATCATCTCGATCTGTTTGGCTTTTCTGATGTTACAAACATCCAAACCTTTATCTTCTCCATCTTGTATTTATTTAAAAATCAATTGCGGTTCTTTAGTCTCGCTAAAACTCGAGGACGACTGAAAGGATTTATCTTATCTTGGTCTTGAAATGTTCGTGGAGGTCTAGGGAAGGTTTAAAAGGTGAGAAAAAATCCAATAATTGCCAGGAAATCATTTAGAAACCTTTTTTTAATCAAACTCGGACGGAGTCGCGGGCGACAGCTAGTTTGTTATAGTGTTTATCATAACTTCTATATAAGATTATAAGATACTGATTTAAAAATAAAATATATCAAAATAACTTAATTCTAAGTTATTTGAAAACACATTCGAAAGTCCCATTTTAAGTGAATCAAATGCTTTAATTTGCTATAACTTTGGAAAGTTACTGTACTTAAGTTTTATTGAATAAGTTACAATGTTTCAGTTGAAACTATTACACCTCGAAGTATTCTTTAGTGTTTTCATCGCCGAAACATTCACAGAAACATATTAATATATCTATTCTATTATCATAAGAAAAAGGATATGTTTCGTTACAATATGCCTATCTTATTTCTATATTTACTCTTACTAATATTATAAACGCGAATGTTTAGATGGAAAAATGTATGGATGGATGTGTATTAGCCTGTATTTTATTAGACATTAGCTATATCTCCTAAAAGATTTATCATCATCATCAGCTCACTATATGTCTCCACCGAGGGGCTCGGAGCCTACCCTAAGTTAAGGGTGATTAGGCCATAGTCAACCACGCTGGCCAAGTGCGGGTTGGTTGACTTCACACGTATCTTTGAATTCCTTCTCAGATATGTGCAGGTGGCATAACGATGTTTTCCTTCACCGTAAGAACGTCGCATAAATTTACATATGTAAATCGGAAATCAAAAAACACATTGGTAACGTGGCGGGATTCGAACCTAGGACTTGCAGATTGCAAGTCAAGTGCTTGACCCCTGAGCCACCGACGCTCTCCTAAAAGATTACTTAAAACTAAATAAAATTTGATATACACATATATATATATAGATATATTACTGTCTGGGGATGACAAGGGCTACTAAGTTATGCTTTTTATTACGTGGACGCAGACAAAGTCACAGTTCAAATCTAGTCAAATATAAATTAAATGGTTATAGTATAAGAAATGAAATAGTATAATTAATTTAATTTCGTTTATAAATAGTTTGAAAACGATAAAAACTAAAAACTTATATCAAGACGCAGACCTAACAAAATTAGAATAATCATTTTCTAAATCTTGGTAGAGTAATCAAAACTCTTGTAAATACAAAGTTTTTCAGCAAAAACAAGAAACACTAATGATTTTCTATTTACAACTTAATTCCATTACGAGATAATTCTGAATTATCTCTTAGTAATTTTGCTGAACTAAAATTATTATAAAAACTTTCATCACCCACGAGGAATTTATTAAAATCTATAAATAAGTAATGAAGCAGCTTTATTTAAGAAAACAACTTAATACATCCAATTTTATTGTTAATTCAAGATGGCTACAATAACAAAATGGTGGATTGTCGGTTTTGAATCCGCCATTTTGTCGATCGATTTAATTTGTAATCTCGTGGAATGAAAATTATTTAGTACCCTCTATGTTATTACTGTATTGTATTACATCTAGGTTCCAAATATCATCCAGATCTATTCCGCAGTTTTGTTTCGTAGCAACAATATTCTTACATCCATGGATACAAACTTTGGCATTTGTAAAATTAGTTAGGAGTAATATTAAGGCCCTTCGTATAAAGGCAACGTAATACGTCAAAACTTTTATTTTATGCTCGCGAGACTCGTGTTGCGAGCGCTTCGTATACTTTGAATCGTCGACGCGAATCGTCTATTCGGTCAAAACAGGTATATCTACTACATGTCAAATGTATACATATGCACCGCCATTTTGGAAAAATCGGCGAAGTGCGCTTAGTACCATTATAACATTGTATTGCGAAAGTGTTAGGGCTTAATTGCATTGTTAGCAACATAATCTATATATATATATATATATATCTTATTAATATTATAAATCTGTAAAAACACATTGTGTACTAATTAAGTTTGCTTTTAATTCCGCGCGGACAGAGTCGCGGGCGACTGCTAGTCAGTGTTAAATAATAAATGAACTTATCTATAGTCAATCTCGCTCACAACTAGTTTCGCTTCGCTTGATCAAGTTAATTATTCCTCAAATAAAATTATCCTTCGCGTAATAGCCTTTGATCAATTCTCGGCGACTTTGCCTCAGGAATAATCTGTTTATAGCTGAGCTTAATTAAAACAGCTACTTCGTAGATATATTTTCTTATAAGTATGCCTAGCATGAACATTTGCGACAAACGCTTTCGTATCGTCATCGTCAATTATGTCAAAAAAGCTGTCGACCGCGACTCAATCCGCATGGAATGAACATAAAAATTTGTAGTTCGCGCAGAATAAAAAAAAATACTAAGTAGCCTATGCCTATGCCTATAGACTATATTCTATATTTTTACCGAATTTTATCAAAATCCGTTGAGCCGTTCCGGAGATACCTACTAACATCCATCCATCTAAACTTTCGCATTTATAATATTAGTAAAATTAGTATGAGATTTTCCCCTGATAGGAGCGCTGCTCAAATTTTTCGATGACGATAGGACGGTGCTCGCCACAAATATTCGTACTAGACCTGATCTCTTTTTAACGCGGTAATTGCACTATAACTCATTATTCGTATTATTTAAAAACATCTTCGGATGGATTATTGGGTCCGGCTGTCGGACCAGTCATATAAAGTCAGTATAATACACATCGCCCCACCTTTCTGTATTGGCTTAATCGATATACTCAACAGACACGGCTGCCAAATGCATTTATCTTTATTGTATCCATTTCTGTACATCTATTTTGGAACGCATAATAAATAATAAGTATTGTTTGTGTTATTTAATACTAAATATAACTCATGACTTCATTCATTTGTAACATGGTTTTTTGTAGTAAATTTTGTTATGTCGTCCCCACCGAGGGGCTCGGGAGCCTACCCTAAGTTAAGGATGATTAGGCTATAGTCAACCACGCTGGCCAAGTGCGGGTTGGTTGACTTCACACATATCTTTGAATTTCTTCTCAGATATGTGCAGGTTGCATCACGATGTTTTCCTTCACCGTAAGAACGTCGGACTAAAGTAAATCGAAAATCGAAAAACACATTGGTACATGGCGGGATTCGAACCCAAGACCTGCAGATTGCAAGTCAAGTGCTTGACCACTGAGCCACCGACGATTTATATGTTAGAGCACATATTTTTTGGTATTAAAGATTTGAATGTTGTTTTTCTAAGAGCCAATATATGTACAGTCAGCTGCATATATACGTTTTTAAAACTGTATACACGTATATAAGACTTTGGTTTCAAAAATAAAGATGCGTGTATTCGTCATTAGTACGAGATCATGATCGGAAACTTATGAACGGATACGTGAATATATATTTTTATAATAAAACGATAAAATATACGAAATACTGATGGTTTGTAAATGTATACATTTTTATGAAGCTGACTGTACATAGATTATTTAAAACTTTCGATATATTGAAATAGTTGCGATCATAAATTGTCGGTTGCCGTACCTCAAATTGCTGC